GAGAAATCCTTCTGTTTCCCATAATGACCACCAAGCGGGGCTGAGGAGAGCATGCTACCATGAATTGTGTCTGACTCCATTACTCCAGTCTCTCCTCTATCTCTTATGCTTTCTATGACTTTACTATAATCTTTACTTATTATCGCTGTACAATTGCACCTACCGGACCTGTGATGATTTATGGGGGACCCTCTCCCTTCACCCCACAGATAGTATTCCTCTATAGCAGTGGTTCTCAACCTTCCTCATGCCATGACTCTTTAATACATTTCCTCATGTTGTGGTGACACCCCCCAACAATAAAATTAATTTTGTTGCTACTTTATAACTGTAATTTTGCTACTGTTATGAATTGGGCAACCCCTGTGAAAGGGTTGTTTAACCCCCAAAGGGGTCGCAACCCAGAGGTTGAGAATTGCTGGTCTAGAACTTGGGTTCCCACCAATCATTATCCAACCAGTAAACCTGGTCTCATTTATGATTTTGATTTTGAGCTGTGTACCACATTTTCCTCACATTCTATTTGGGACCTTCTAATATCCATTTTCTTTCCTGTCTTTTTAATGACCTTTTGCTTTCTTCATGAATGATGGTCTTGATATTCGCCCATATCTCATCAGATCTTCTGTCACTAGTGTTCGAGATGTTCTCAAAATTCAACCTGTGGGTCGTGACCCCTTTGGGGGTCAAACGACCCGTTCACAGGAGTCGCCCAATTCATAGCAGTAGCAAAGTTACAGTTATGAAGTAGCAATGAAAATAATTTTTGGTTAGGGATCACCACAACATGAGGAACTGTATTAAAGGGTCGCAGCATTAGAAAGGTTGGAAACCACTGGATTAGACTCAAGGCTGTATTTTAACTCTTGTGGATTTGTTTTCATTTTCTTCAACTTTATCTTGAACGTACAAAAGAGCAATTGATAGTCTGTTTCACAACTGGACCCTGGTCTGGTTTTAACTGCTGATATTGAGCTTCTCCATCGTATCTTCCCACAGATGTAGTCAATCTGATTTCTGTGTATTCCGTCTGGGAAGTCCATGTGTGTAGTCACCTATTGTGTTGTTGAAAAAAAAGGTATTTGCTATGAACAAGTCACTGATGTTGCAAAGTTTATCATGCTATCTCCAGTTCATTTCTATCACCAAGTCCATGTTTTTCCAACTACGGTTCCTTCCTCTGTTTCCAACTTTTTCATTCCAATCACCAATAACTATCAATGCATCCTGACTACATGTTTGATCAATTTCCGACTGAAGTTGTTGGTAGAATTCTTCAAGTTCTTCATCACTAGCTTTTGTGGTTAGTGCAAAAGTTAAATTATAATTGTATTGAGTGGATTTCCTTGACGGCAGATAGATGCAATCCAATCACAGATAGCATTGTCCTTCATGATGGGTTCAGCAAGAGCTTCTCTGACAGTGAGTGCCCACCATTCCTTTTGATTGCTTTATTCCCAGCAGATTAACTCAGATGGTTTTCTGACTCACAATGGCCAATACCAGTTCATTTCAGCTCAATAACGCCTAGGATATTGATCTTCATGTATTCCATCTAATTTTTGATGACTTCTAATTTTCCTGGCTTCATACTGCTCACATTCCAAATTCCAGTCATTAGAAGATTTTGCTTTAGTTTCTCTTTACCTTGAGTCATGCCCATCCGCAAATGAAGACCCCCCAAAGGCTCCACTCCCACAGGCTTGACTCAAAACCTATTTGCAGGACCCCTCTGTGGATTAAGCCTCTGGTGAATCCCCTCTGACTCTGGACCTTGTTCTTAGACAGAGTGCCTGGTAGAGTGTATCACTGTAGTTTTTTAGGTCAAAATGTGACACCTTGTCATTGATTTCCCTCTTGATCCAGTGCATAATTGTTCCAGTTTTTAAAATATTTTCTGCTTTATTTTCGATTGAGGGGTTTCTCTGTTTCATTCTGTCTTCCTTGTTGGGCTCTTTGTTTCTGTTTTGTCTTTATTGTATATGCTTTTCGGTACATGAGACCCAGAGTAGGCAAACTTCTATCAAAAGCTGGAGCCGAATGCCAGTTTTCAGAAGATTCTGAGTTAGGAAAAAATCTTGTGGGGCTTCCATGGGTCCATGGAAATGCGAAGGAGTATCATTTCTTCCTGGCACCAAGTGTCCTAGACATCCCAGGGATCCCACCAGGAAAGACCATTTGGAATCCAGTTTTCTAGCTACACCACCTGTTTTAGGGTCCATAAGAGACCTTCATCTCAAATATCATTTAAGGAGGGCATTTATTAAGTCTTAAAAGAGAAAAACAGAAAGACACAGCTACATCATCTGGACGAGGGAGGCCATGACCATGCGGTCTTAATGGCATCCCTATGAGATGATTTTCATGTCTTGGGAAACAACAACTCATGACTCACTTTCTTGTGATATTTGCTTTATTGTGGTGATCTCAAAGTGAACCCGCAATGTCTCCAAGGTATGCTTGTAAATGAAGTGGGAAATCTGTACGGGCAGAATATGCACTGTATGTAAGCAGTATAGCAGAGTGCAGGAGAGACTAAATGAGATCAGGGAAATCCAGGCGCTTTCCCCTCTCTGCCACCACAAAAAGCCCTGTGCTTGCGGCACTCCTCTGCCCGTCAGCATCTGTATCTAGGTCCTCTGAGGGCTTTTCTAGTCTTGCTTCATTGAAAAGGACTTTTTTGACTTAAGATGAAATTCGGGAATCTTGTGTCCTTGCAAGTCTGCTCCTTTGATAGCAAACTACCAGAACGACCCTAGTGCTTGCTAACGGTGTTTTAAGAGAAGTTTTGCATTCACCTGTTTTTTTTTAATGCTCATATTCTGTCTCAAGAAAATGACTTTATATCCTTTTTAATGATTTTAATACCCTCTGTATGCTTTGTTTTAGGTTGGTACAGAGGTGTGTCAACAAAGAAGCCAAATGTAAAGGTAATGAAAAGTTTATTGTTACCTTTTCTAAAGTAGGGGAGGAGTTCCCCTATGGTTTGTTTGATACACAGACAATTCTTACTGGCCTTCCTTTCAGTTTGTAGAATGACATAGTCCGGTTTCCTGTGATACTAAAATGTTTTTCTCCTAAGGGACGGTGGGTACCAATGTGACCGTAGCTTCAAAGCTCAGATTGAAGTGCCTGTTTAGGAGATCAAATAGTTTGATAAAAAGAAATAAACGTATTTATAAGCCTAGTTCTGTGGAATCACGTGATTAGTTAGATGAGTTTATATCAACTGTGAAATAGGGAAAAAAACATGTTTGTTCTGTTACTAGTCAGGGTTGTTTTAATTAAAATATATTCCCTCTAACATTTAAGAGGCACCTAGAGACTGTCTAGATAACAGTTGTAGCATTAAGAAATACTAGTAAATAACAAAAGATTTCTTTCATAAAACAGTTTTATAAAAGCTCTCAAATCTTAAGCTCTTGTTCTTTATATAATTGTTTTTGGTAAGAAAGATCATTTATAAGGAAAAACTTGTTCGGTGCCATCAGGTTGGTTCTGTCTGACAGAACCCGACTTAGAACAGAATGAGACACCATTTGGTCCTTACAGTTGTTAAGTTTGAGCCCAGTGTTGTAGCAGCTGTGTCAATCCATTTCATTAAGGGTCTTCTTCATTTTCATTGACCTCCACTTCACCAAGTTTGATGTCCTTCTCCAAGGATTGGTCTCACCGGACAACACGTCCAAAGTACACGGCACGGAGCCTTCTCATCCTGCTTTTCAGGAGCATTCTGGCTGTATTTCCTCCAAGACAGAGTGGTTTGCTCTTCCAGAAGTCCATGGCATTTTCAGTAGTCTGCCCCAGCACTGTAATGCGAGACAGTGCTTCTCCCTCAGTCCTTTTACTCACCGTTTAGCTCTCATGTGCATATGCGGCCATTGGAAATCGGAGGGCTTGTGTGGGTACATCTTAGCCCTCAGGGTGACATCTTGGTCAGCACTTGAAAGAGGTCTTGTGAGCAGATTTGCCCAAAGCAATATGGTGTTCGATTTTTTTTACTGCTGCTTCCATGATTATTGATTGTGTATCCAAGCAAAATGGAATCCCTTCACCTTTCTCCATTTATCATGATAATGCCTATTGGTCCAGTTTGAGGATTTTTTCTTCTTCTTTACATTGAGTTATAATCCATAAACCAAAAAACTAAAACAAAATGCACTGTCACTGAGTGGATTCTGACTCGTAGTGACCCTGTAGGACAGAGGGGAACTGCCTCTATGGGTTTAGGAGGCTGTAAATCTTTTTTTCTTTTTTTTTCTTTCAAGTCTGTAAATCTTTATGGGAGCAGAAAGTCTCATTTTTCTTATATAGCAGCTGGATTTGAATCACCAACCTTGCAGCTAGTAGCCCAATGCATTATGCATTATTAACAGAGCTCCTTATAAAGCATCCTGAAAGCTGTATTCTTTGTCCTTCATCAGTAAATGGTTTAAATCCTCTTGGCTTTTAGGGTACAAGCCAGGTTGTGCCATCTGCATGCAGCAGACAGCTATTGAGCCTTCCTCCGGCCCTGGAGCTGCATGTCTGCGTATGGTTCAACTTCTTGGGTTATTTGCTGGATATCACAGGATACAAGTCTAATGCACACCTTCTCATTCTTTTATCACTTGTGTGTGTTGCTTGTATTAAAAAACAAAAATAAGCAAGTTTACAAAACCCTCCCATGTTATGATAGCCTATTTACATGTTTGTTTAACCTGAGAGAAGTCCTGGGTGGCTCAAATGACTAATGAGCTCAGCTACTAATGGAGATTGGAGGTTCTAGTCCAACCGAGGCACCTTGGAAGGACATCCTGGCCACCTAATTCCAAAAGATCAGTGACCAAAAACCCTCTGAAGCACAGAACTTACTCTGGGGTGCCAGGAGTCAGATTTGACTTGATGGCAACGGGTTTTGGGTTCCAGACAAGCCTGAACTGACTAGCTAGGGCAGTGTTCAGTAGAAAGCACCCTTGTATGGGACAGTTGACTGTGGCAATTACTTGATTTTTGACCATCAAACAAGACACTAAAAGGGCTTGAGAAATTAAGATCCTCCATGAACATGGCTAAAGGAAAATTAGATTCATTTCAGATGAATTCACACTTACTGCCTCCAATTCTCATTCAATGTTGAAATAATACAAAAAGTTTTCAAACTTTAGTAAGCATTAGAATCACCTGAAGGGGTATTAAGGTAGCAGAAGGACATTGGGCCTCCACTCAAGTACTCCCTCAACACAAGAATACTTTCTTCTAGTAAATTGGCATTCTATGATGCTCA